TAAACATACTATATTTTCTTGCACTAATATTGTTTTATTGAGATATAATTGACATAATGTAAAATTTACCATTTAAATAAATTTAAAGTGTATAATTTAGTGGGTTTTTAATATGTTCACAATAATGTTAAACCATTACTATCTCATCTTATCATTCGTGTATAATGCCAGACATATTCATCAAGAGGAAACCCCATATGTGCTAGGCAGTCACTCTCTACTTTCTTTTTTTTTTTTTTTATCCTCACCTGAGGACATTTTTCCACTTTTTGTTCAGGTAGAGTGGGGTGGGGGGGACAGAGAGAGAGAGAGAAATATCAATGTGAAAGGAACACATCGAGTGCCTGCCACCCGCATAACCGACCAGGGCCCCGGGACAAACTGCAACCAAGGTACATGCCCTTACCGGGAACCGAACCCGGGTCTCTCAGGACTGCAGGCTGACACTCTAACCACTGAGCCAAACCGGCCAGGGCGACTCTCTCTACTTTCTTTCCCCCAATACTTGGCAACAGCTAATCTACTTTCTGTGTCTGGATCTGCCTACTTTGGATATTTCATATAAAAGGAAGTCATATAATATGTAGCCCTTTGTGTCTGGCTACTTCCACTTAGCAAAATTTTTTCAAAGTTCATCCATATTGTAACAAGTAACAGTACTTCATTCCTTTGATGGTTGAATAATATCCCATTGTATGAATACTATTGTATTTTGTATATCCATTCATTAGTTGAGGAACATTTGCATTATTTCTACTTTTTGGCTATTAATAGTGCTGATATGAACATTAATATACAAATTTTGTGAATATGTTTTCAGTACCCTGTATATGTATCTAGTAGTGAAATTACTGTGACATCTGGTAACTCTATCTTTACATGTTTGAGGAATTGCTGAACTGTTTTGTACAATAGTTGCAATATTGAACATTTCCAACAACAGTGTGTGAGAGTTTTATTTTCTCTACTTCCTTGCCAACACCTATTTTCTGTTTGTTTGTTTGTTTGTTCATTTATTTTATTATAACTATCCTATTGGATGTGAGTGAGTGGTTTTGATTTGAATTTCCATAATGGCTAATGATGTTGAACATTTCTATCTTTGGAGAAATATCTGTTCAAGTTCTCACCCATTCTTATTTTATTTTTATTTATATTTTATTTTTGTTACAGATGTTTCTCCTTTTTTTCCCCATTGACACCCTCATCCCCATCCCCCCCACCCCGTACCCGGCTTTGTTGTCCGTGTCCATTGGTTATGCGTCCATGTCTCAACCATTTTTAAATTTGGTTCTTTTTGTTGATATATTATGACAGTTGTTTATATATTCTAGATATTAGACTTTTATCAGATATATTATTTGGAAACAGTGAGCTTTCTTTTTGCTTTTATTCTTTGATGGACAAAAGTTTTAAATTTCGATGAAGTCTAATTTTTGTTTTGTTTTCTATTTTGTTTGGGCTTATGGTGTATATTTTTAGAAACCATTACCTAATCCCAGGTTACAAAGATATGCACCTATTTACCTTCAAGAGCTTAATAGTTTTACAGGACACTGCATCAACTCGAGGCCATTTGAACAGTCTAACCCAAATCACTGATTTATATCAACAATATGTATGACAAAATTAAAAAATAAGAATTGAAGAAATCCTTACATACCCCATTTTCTCAGTTTGACCATGTGGTAGATATTGTGGCTTTAAAAACCATGAAGATGAGGGGGCAAGCCTTTGTTATACAAAAGAACTAGGCTCATCCATGAATGAGACAGTTACGAGAATTTCTGTCTTATGGTAAACCAGTTGGAACACCAAATTCAGCTGACACCCAACAATATGCAACACCAAACCTTCAGGTCCATGATTACTCTCCAAACTATTTTACTCCTTAATAATTTACCAGAAGAGACTAATGAGATGATGATATCCATACTGTTTAATCAGTTCCGGTTTCAAGGAAGTATGTGGGAGGAAGCAAGACATCTCATTTGCTGAAATGACAGTTCGGCGCTGCAGGGATGCTTTATAAGGATTTGAGATCACACTGTCCCATGCCATGAAGATCACCTATGCCAAGAGGTGATAGTTGTCTTTAAAGGAATTGGTGTTATTTATAGTGTTTGTTTGTTTTTTTTATTCTCACCCGAGGATATTTTTCCATTTTTTGTACAGATAGAGTGGGAGGGAGAGAGAGAGAGAAACATTGACGTGAAGGGACACATCGAGTGGCTGCCACCCGCATAACCAACCAGGGCCGGGGACAAACTGCAACTGAGGTACATGCCCTTAGCGGGAACCGAACCCGGGTCTCTCCGGACCGCAGGTGGATGCTCTAACCGCTGAGCCAAACTGGCCAGGGCAATAGTTTTATTTCTTACACACAGGTATTTGATCCTTTTGTAGTTCATTTTTATACATCGTGTGAGGTGGAGTTCCAGATTTATTGTTCTGCATGTGGATACAGTTGTCCCACCATCGTTTGTTGATAGAACCACTCTTGCATTATTGAATGGTCTTATCACTCTTATCAAAATTCAGTTAATTGTAGATGTATTGGGCTTATTTGGAAACTCTCAAAATTTCTGTGTTCTATTGTACTAAGTCTCTATCCTTATGTGGCTACTACCACATTTTGGTTCCTGCAGCTTTCTGCTAAGCTTTAAAATCGGCAAGTATAAGTCCTTCACTTTTTCCTTTTCAAGATTATTTTAGCTATTCATAACTCTTTGTAGCTGAATTTGAATTTTAGGATCAGTTTATCTAGTAATTCTGACTAGAGAAAGAGCCACTGAATTTTGGTAGGGATTACACTGAATCTGGAGATAAATTTGGAGAGTAGTGACATTTTAACATATTAAGTCTTCTAAACCAGGAACACGGGTTATCTTTCCATTTATTAAGTCTCTATGATGTTTTGTAGTTTTTAGTATAAAAGTTTTGAACTACTTTGGTAAAATTTATTCCTAAGTATTTTATTGTTTGTGAAGCTACTGTGAATGGAATTGTTTTCTTAATTTCATGTTTAGAGTGTTCATTTGAAGTGTGTAGAATGCAAATGACTTTTTGTGTTGACTTTGTGTTTTATGACTTTGCTTAACTTGGTTAGTAGATCTAATAGTGTTTTGTTATATCTAATAATTACGTAGTATTTTCTATATATAAATCATGTTTTCTGCAAATAGAGGTAGTTCTATTTCTTTACTTCTAATCTAATAATTTATAAGGATGCTTCTTATTCATTTTTCTTGCCTAATGCCCTTACTAGAACTTGGCTAGCAGTGTTAAATAGAAGTGGCAAGAGTGGACATCCTTGTCTTGTTCCTGATGTTAGGGGAAAAGCTTTTAGTTTTTGTAAATAACATAATGATATCTGTGGGATTTTCACAGATGCCCTTTATCAGATTGAGGATGCTGCTCTATTGTCCTAGTTTGTTGAGTATTTATATCATGAAAGATATAGATGATCTTATCACTCTTTTTTTTTTTTTTTGCATGCTGAGATAATCATACTAGGTATTTTTTTTCTTGATGTTTTAATATGGTGTGTTAAGTGGATTGCTTTTCATATGTTGAACCACCTTTGCATTCCTGAGAAAAATTCCATTTGGCCCTAGTGTATAATCCTTTTAATATGCTGTTGGATTCTGTTTGCTGCAATTATATTGAGTAATTTATATTCGTCTATATTCATTAGGCAGACTGCTTTGTACTTTTCTTGTTTTTGTCTGGCTTTGGGACTAGTGTAATCCTGGCCTCATAGGAAGAGTCAGGGCATGTTTCCTCATCTTCTGTTTTTAGGAAACGCATGAGAAGGATTGGTGTTAATCCTTTTTAAACAGTTGTGAGAATTTGTTACAATTGCTGGCATTTTCTTTGTGCAAAATGTTTTGATTACTGATTCAATTTCTTGTGATAGGTCTATTTGATATACTATTTCTTCTTGAGTCAATTTTGATAGTTTGCATATTTCTAGAAATGTGTACATTACAACTTGCTTATCTCATTTGTTGGCATACAGTTGTTCACAGTGCTCTCTTATAATCCTTTTTGTTTCTTTAAGTTCATTAGCAAGTTCTTTTCTATATTACTAATTCTAGAAATTCGACTCTTTCTATGTTTTTTTTCTTGTCAATCTGGGTAAGTTTTGTCAATATTGTTTATTTTTAAAAAGAACCAACTTTGGTCTAATTGATTTTCTCTGTTGTTTTTTATTCTTTATTTAATTAATTTTTTCTAATTTTTTATTGTGCTTTTTTGGGGGGTTTAGTTTGCCCGTCCTTTTCTAGTTTCTTAAGGTAAAAGTTTAGGTTACTAACTTGAGATTTTTGTTCTTTTTTTTAATATAGATGTTTAATTTCCCTTGTGATTTCTTCTTTGCCTCGTTGGTTATTTAGAAGTGTGTTATGTAATTTCACACACATTTGTGAACTTCCTCATTTTCCTACTCTTAATTATTCAATTTTTCACTGTTAATTATTTAAAGTTTTATTCTCTTGTGGTCAAAGAACATACTTTGTATGATTTCAGTGTTTTAAAATTGATTGAGCTTTGTTTTGTGGTCTAACGTATAGTCTCTCCTGGAGAACATTTCATGTCCACTTGAGAACAATGTATATTTGCTGCTGTTGGGTTGAGTATTCAATAGTCATTTGATTTTTCTAGTTGGTTTTATATTGTTCAGTCTTCTGTTTCTTTGCTGATCTTTTGTTTAGGGTTTCTGTTCATTACTGATAAGTTGCAGTAACAAATATGATACTAATAGCAGTACAAAGAAGGTCTTATTTTTGTCTTCATCAACAATCATTTAATAAACATTATCATATTCAAGTTACTATGTACTGTAACTCCAACTTCTGTTATGAGACTGAAGGAAACTATTATATTTTTCCTGTCATTTTATCCCCAGAGACACTCAATTATTCATGGATGCAAAAGTCAATCGTTTTATTATTTTGTAAACCAAAGAATAAATCATGGTTTACTTTCTTATTTTCCAGGAGAAACATAAGCAAGAATTAGAAGACATGAGGAAAGCTGGTCACGAAGCCCTCAGCATTATTGTGGATGAATATAAGGTAGAGGATTGAGAGCCTGTTTTCTTTATTCTTTTAAACTTTGGCAAACTTTAATAAAACATTTATACATAGGCATGTGCATACATACACACATTGTAGAATTTTTAGTGTAGTCTTATTTTGTATAGAATTCCTTTCGGCTTACCAATAGTGTTCACTGGAAGCATACTTGATAATGCTAGATGTTGCTCTGCATTTGAGAAGTTATAGAATATTTGTGAATACAGTTTTTGCAGCTGAAGATTTATAACAAAGTACTGTAGAATTAATTGCGGGATTATATTATGGTTCCTTTTATAAAAAATATGTTTGATTTTAGAGAGAGAGGAAGGGAGAGAGAGAGAAAGATATGTTAGAAAGAAACATTGATCAGTTATCTCTTGCACACACCTCAATGGGAGACTGAACCCACAAACCAAGCATGTGCCCTGACTGGGAATCGATATGGTGACCTTATGGTACACAGGATGACAAGCCATACCAGCCAGGACTATGGTTCCACTTCTTATAAAAAAAGAAAAGTATGATACAAACGTGAAAAATATTGTTATACATTTTTTCCTTTCTTAAATAAATTAAATAGATTTCAGTACATTTAAGTATTGACATAAATTATGATAAATGTCAGTATCAGTGTTGTACACAGTATTATTCTTTTGATTCTATGCCTGTATAAGCTTAATAATCATTTGAAGCAAATTGAATATTTAATGACAAAATCTTTTCCCCCAAAAAAGTTCATGTTAGATCTTTTTTCCCTCAAGTAAAAGAGGAATACATTCTTATTGAAATATCATTCAAATAATTCTAGAGGTAACCACTGTGGGGGGGGGGGTAGAGAGAGAGAGAGAGAGGGACAGAGAGAGAGAGAGGTATCCTCATCGAGTATGCACATCTAGAATTACTTCAAGTGAAAAGCTCCCCGACCCCCCTCTCCATAAGTAGTCTGGTAGATAGGCCTCAGGACTTGAAAGCTCATCTTTGCTACTATGCCCAATATAGAAACTGGTGCCACTGTTGAGAAGGTCATTAAAAAATGGATGGTTTTCACAGCGGTGGTTATTGCCTCTTTTTATAATGTTGTGAATTTTTAGTTCAGCTTTAGTTATTGAATTGGGAAAAAGAATAGGGCCTATTTTGAACCATCCTCTTTTTTCCCTTAAGGCTAATATTGGGAAGAGTCAAAATACTGGAATGTACATCATTCTCCTGAAGTATTAAGTGATATATTCTAGGATAAATTTATATTTTACTTTTTATTTATGAATTTTAAATGAAATCTTTTGAAATTATTTACATTGTTTGTACTATGTGTGTTTCTGAAGAGCTCAGAATTTAATATATTAAATCCTTTTTTGGTTCTAGCTTCATTTTTTTTTTTTACTTGAAAGCATGTTCATTGTGTATTACTTTCAACACTGCCAACTAATATGGTTAAAGTCATGTGACAACTTTGTAAATATATTTTGTAAATTTTCTTTTTAAGAAATGTGGTTATGAGCTACTTAGTTTATCTCCTCTTTGTCTAGTATTATTATTTGTCACTCATTTAAAAAGAGAGGATTTAAAAGTACCAGCATTAGGTATTATGATTTGCTGAAAAGGATTAGGAATTGAATCAGCCTACAGAGTTATATTTTATTTGTCATATTATGGTTACAGTTAGATACCATGCAAAATATATAAATTCTTTTATAGCAGGGAACTTTGGTGTAAGTACATTTTACATAGGTTTACTTATTGATTTAGTGAGAAGCTTCCCATTTGGTACAATGATATTACAACATTCGGAGGAAGAATATTATCTAATTTGTTAAATTATCACATAAAAGTTTATAACTCCAGTGATCTAAAAACACACTGAGCATCAACTTCAAAAAGTAATTCAGGTAGGAAAAATAGGCATTGTTTTCCTGATAAATTAGATGTCTGTAATTTAAGTGTGGACAAGAAAAAAAGTTTGTTTTCAATTCTAAATTCAAGCATGAGAAGTTCATGTGGTAATTATTTTATTATATTTCTCTTTTTTAAGACAGCATATAACTTTTCATTAACATCTTCTAAAGTTTTATTTTGATAAATATATAACCATTTTGATGGATGATTCATTAATCATTATCACTAATCATTAGGTAACTCAAAAACAAACTAAAATACACCTTTTATGAGAACAACAATAGTGTGAATATTCCCTCTGCATTTTATTCCATAATTCAAGAAATATTACTGACTTTGCTTTTGTGCCAGGGCCTATTGTAGATATAACACTGAACAAAATAGACACATCCTTGGTCCAATGTAATATATATTCCATACACACGCACCTGTGTATATGCACATACCAGAAGTGTGCATGCATCTATAGGAAGTAAAGAAGATAGAACCATATCTTTCTTTCCTGATGGTTTGGTTTTCAGGTCTTTATACGTTTACCTCGTCTACCTGTGCAGGTTTTTACTCAATTAAGCAACTGGACTAAGAAATCTACTACCTGCCTACCACCATTCCTGGCTTCTGGGTATCTGACATATCCTGATTTAGATATGATCAGTCATTTTATCCCCTCCAAGTTGAGTTGAAATATTATTGAGGATTTAGAAAACAGATTTCATTAGAAAAGATGGTAAAACATACCAAATAAATAAAACAAAACAAAAATGATAAAATGTAAAAATAATGTACAGGAAGATGCATTATTTTAGCATTGACCTCTGCATCCAGATATATGAAATGGACATTTTTTTGCTCAGTCTTCCTGCTCAATAGAGCTAAAATATAAACCCTGGACATTAATGTATAAAACAGACATAATATCTTAAAGGTTTGACTAAGACAATCAGGCTGGCTTGGAACCTTAGGGTCCAAGTAACTACATGATGTTAGGTTCCCTGTTGGGTGTGTGCTTTGTTTGTTTGTTTTTTGCTTAATTTGTCTCAGACTGGGTGTTGGAGAAGTGAAATATTCAACATACCAAATGGGGACAGACAACAATCCCAAAACACAAGACAAGGGAAGCCTTCATCTCAAAAGGCAGAAAACTATTAAATAATAACTATTCTACTCCCACCAAACATCATAGAATAAACTGCAGCCCCACCCGCAGCCCGGCCAACAAAGGCTCTTTAGGAAACCTAGACTTCTACCCTCACCAGGCTATAATGAAATACTCTTCCTCTTCCCTACTGAGGCAGTGTCAAAGAAGACTGACTGGGGACCAGGACTTTGGGTCCCACTGGGCAGTAAATCCCTCCCCTTTGAGTGTCAGGGTAGGCCATGTAGGAAACCTAAACTTTCACCCTACTCTGATGGTAATAAGACCTTTTTCCTTTTCCCCATTGGCAAGGTATAAAGGGATATTTCATGGAGAGTCAGGACTTTAATTACTGCTCAGTAGTAATGAGGTCTCTCTCTCTCTCTCTCTCTCTTTTTCACACACACGCAGACACACACACACGCACCTGCAGTATCAGTGGAGACCATTTGGAGAACAATAAGGTGGCACCCTTATTCCTCCTAGCCACAGTGATATCAGTGAAGTTCTAATGGGATCTAATGGGATACTTGAACGCCCAGCCATGTCCAGCAATAATGAGGAGGTCTTTGTTCCCCTTGCCCTGTGTGTCAGTAGAGAATGAGTCAGGAACCTGGACTTCTGTACCTGTTCATGTTCCACTTTTCCTGCTGTAGTAATATCATATCAGAGTAAATCTGCTCAAACACAATTTAAAATAATCAGTTTTCAGATGAAAATTACTACCCTTACCAATAACTGAGAAAATCTCATCTTTGGTGAAAAAAAGACAGTGAACAGAAGCCAGCACTGAACTGACACCAATGTTAGAATTCTCTCACAAGGATTTTAAAGCAGACGTCATAAAAGTGATTTAACAAGCAATTATGAAAATGTTTGAAAGAAATGAAAAAGTAGAAAATCTCAGGAAAGGAATATAAAGTTTTAGCAAAGTAATAGATTGCATAAGGAAGAACCAAATGGAAATTTTATAATTAAAAAATACAGTAACCAAAATAAATACACAGAGTATGAGCTCAAAAGCATACTAGAGAAGCATTGGAAAGAACCAGTGAATTTAAAAGTAAAACAATAAAGATCATTAAATTTGAATGCTGGAAAGGAAATAGACTGAAAACAGAGATTTAGGGATCTGTGGGATTATAAAGAGATCTAAAATTCATGTCATCAGAGTCCTCGAAAGAACAAAAGAGAGTTGAGTTGAAGAATATTCAAAGAAATAGTGGCTGAAAATTTCCCAAATTTGTCAGAAGAAATGAAAGTACATACATATTCAAGAAGTTAAGTAAACTCTAAACAAGGTAAACAAACAAACAAACAAACCCTCAAAATATCCCACACCAAGAATCATTGTTATTTTATGTGTCAACTTGGCTGGGCCATGGTGCCCCGACATTTGGTCAAACACCATTATGGATGTTTTTGTGAGGGTGTGTTTTGGATAAAATTAACATTTAAATCCATGGGCTTTGAATAAAGTGGATTGCCCTCTATGATTGGGTGGGCCTTATCTAATGATTAGAAAGTCCTAATAGAAAAAAGACTGACTTATCCTGCTAAAGAAAGTATTCTGCTTTAGACTTGAACTGTAACATAGACACTTCCTTGGGTTTCCAGTCTGTCAGCCTACCCTACAGATACTGAATTTGCCAGCTTCCCTAATTGTGTGAGCTAGTTCCTTAAAATATGTGTCTGTCTGTCCGTCCGTCCGTCCGTCCGTCCGTCCGTCCGTCCATCCATCCATCTAATTAGTTTTATTGTTTTAGAGAACCTGACTAATATAATACATAGTCAGACTTCTGAAAACTAAATGTAAAGGAAACGATCTTGAAAGTAGCCAGAGAAAGATGACATTTTACCTACAGGAGAAAACAGTTAGCATGACATTGGATATTTCATCAGAAACCATGGAGAGCAGAAGGAAATGGAACAAGTGCTGAAAGAAAGCAACTATCAACGCTGATTTTTA